TAAATTTTTTGGAATAAATCAACACAAAATATTAGATGAATTTGAAAAGTTGGACATGCCTAGGGAACTTTAAAAGACGTATACGTGATAGTCGAGTCATTATTTTCAGATAAAACTGGAATTTTATGTTTAAAAACCGTCAATTTTTAAGAGAGCCATGATTACCTAAGTCCAGAAAAGAGACATGATCCTCTAAGTCCTGAAGAGACATGACATTTAAAAAATATATTTGAGCTACCTGGTTAATATTTGCCAATGAATTATTATTGGAAGGTTATGTTGAAAAAATATTTGTTGTGTAAATAACTGATTTATTTCTATTAACTCTAAAGACGCTTTGAGTTTTTCTTCGCTTGTCACTGTACAGACTACCGGAGCCTATCTTTTCTTGTCTCTTTTCCGAGCTTTTCTTTGCTTTTGTTTGTTTCTGTATTGTCGGTTGGAGCCTTTCTCTGTGATTGTGTTTCCAATATGGAGTCAGTTTTCATTGCCATAAGTGAATCAAAAACATTGTTTTGTTTTCTAATGAATCCTAGCGATCATGAAATTAGTGTTCAAGTGATTTTATTAAATAAGTACCGTATTTAAAGTTGCATTACGTTAGTGGAGATTGGTAAATGTATATAAATAGTATAAGATAAAGAATACAATTACTTCGGTATCGTGGGATTGAAAGGTGTTGTGTTAGCCATAACCAGAGGCATTCAACTGATACAACTCGTAATCATCTTATGTTTACTGCAAGTAATTTTAATTATTTTTATTGTATAAGTATTATTTAAACTTAATCTTATATCCCAGGGTTGGTTCAAAATAAGTGTTATTGTGTAAGTGGCAGTATGTGAAAAAAGACCGGTTGCTGATTCAGTTTTTACTCTAGGGCAGTAATAGTTGTAAATATACTTACGACAGCTAGACTCGTCACTAGGAGAAAAATAATCATTACTTTGTTAAACATTAAAATCTGGGTTCTGATCAGCTTCTCAAATCTTTAAATTTTCCTCAGTTTTCTCGTTGGTCTTAGTTTGTAATGCCTCGGTTCTCTCCAGATTTTGAAAGGTTTTTCTGTGAATGTTCCCAGTTCTCCAATGATAATGGGCAGAGCCGATACCCTCATATTCCATGACCTCCGTAACTTCCAAGCAAGAACCTGATATTTATTATTACTACGAGTATTGTTTTATTTTAAAGTCAAAACTTTTCACCCAAACGTTGTTACCGTAACGAGATTCCTCGACAAAAAATAATGGAATTGTACTCCAGTTGTACTTTAAAATTGATAGTCAAAGGCTTTATTTTTAGTTATTCGGGGAAACGGTAGTTATGTACTAGGTTTAATAAGAAGAAAAAATGGTGAAATTTGGTTTTAAATTATTTAATTGTCTTTATTTTTAAATGAGGTCCTAGAGACAGGAGTCAAAAATTACAATTAGATGTCAGGTGTTAAGGTACTTACTACTACAGTTTAACAGCATAAAATAGAATAAAAATATTTATCTAAAATTAAGAAGAATTTATTGAAAGAATATCACTAAACAAATTTTATTTCTTCTCAGAATTTTTTAGATGAGGAATCATCGTTATTATATCTTATTGCACAAAGGTGAATAAGATTGAAGTGTATTAAATGATAAGAGTTATCTCCCCCTGAGAATGGAAAACAGAATGAGAACAATCTACTTTCATGGATTGAATAAAAGGTTTGGTTCATAATTCCCCCCAAATTTCCAAGGTACAATATATGCCTGAAGAAAGTCAGAGGATAAAACGAATGAAACATTTTGAGTATAACAACCAAGACAAGTTTCTTAATACAAATTTAAATGCATATAATAATCATTCCTCAACTCAAAAATCTTGGAATAAATTATAAAATGATTGGAGTATACAAACAGCTGTGCATATACAAAGAACTGTACCAAATAACAGAAACCATATCACTTGAGGACTACCAACAGTAGAAACAACTAAAATAGATAGCACAAGTGAAAATAATTATATAATCAAGATGCTATTCTACAAAACTATCAAATATATGGTTCAGAATGAAAATGGAAAGAGCAATAACAGCTATTGGACTTGAGAAACCGGTTTTCATAATAAACGTGTTTTCAGAGAAAAACTTTAGAAATTTCAACTGAAAACCATACGAGCTGCTCGGTCACTGAATACCAATGTTTCCTTATAGGGAAATCGCTAATATTACCATTAAGTATTTAAAAGAAAAGCAATCTATTCAGAAGTTAATATGAATAAAATTTTGAGTTACTCAAAATATTTTAGTTGTACTGCATCATTATCAATAGCATTTCAGCATTATGTCTAATACTGAAAAAAACAAAAAACAAAATAAAAACAAAAACAAAAAAACAAACAAAAACTATTAAACTATTCCAATAAAAAATGAAAAGAGTTATCAAATTAGCATGCATTAACTGTGGGTAGAGGAATGTATATTCTTAATCAATTTTTATACTCCTATATAATATACCAATAAATAAGTAAATAAAACAAGCTTTTAGATTACAATCCGACGGAAATATAAAAATTCTTTTTTTTGGTAAATGTTCTAAAAACCAAGCAGCAAGTTTCCTTTCCTGGTTTTATGAAACAAAAACATTATCTTTATATCTCTGAAAATATTATAAAAAGATAACATCAAAATAGAGAAGTGACACTAAGGCAAAATTAATGAAGATTATTAACTGATATGAGTTATCTCTCCCATGACCAACTAATATTATACGGCCCCATATGTCACATTTCAATCTGAATTCTAACAGGCCGATTTAATGAAAAAAAATGAATGGCCGCTTAGAAAATTGCTAATCTAAAAGGGAAGTAACTTTAAAAATTGAATTAGAACGTAAATTAACAACATACAATTCCGTAGAATTTATCAGACGTTATTTCAGTTCATTTATGAATCGTTTCATGAACGGCTTTTATGATTTTCAATTGCGTATACGGCCCGTTTTGCAAATGAACGCTATTAGTTAAATATTCTATTTCGTAGTATATTGCATTTAAAGATTAAATTATAAAGTTTGTTGTGATATTTTGTTTAACAAATATGGGGAACAAATGTGTTGCATTTGGCTGTTCTAGTTGCTATGTTACTAACAGTGAAAAAGTATCAATATTTTCTTTTCCTCTTGGTAAATCCGACCTTGTAGAAAAATTGATAAAATTTGTTAATTGTATTGATTGGTTTCCTATGCAAAATTCAGTTTTCTGTATGAAACATTTTGAAGAGAAATTTATTTTGAAAGGAAAATTAAACAAACTGAATTGGGATTTACACCCAATACATTCAGAAAGAAGAAGAAAAAACATCTCTTTTGCCGAAGACAAGGGAATTCAGAAAGCCTCCAAAACAATGAACTTGTCTAAACTGATGAATTACATGATTTTATTTCAGCTGATACTATGAAGCATTTTACTTGGAAGAAGCAAAGAGTTGTCCTAACAGTTTTGAATTTAAAGAAGGAAGATTATATTCTAATTTATAGAATAGTCTTTGACCGTTAGTTAGATCCAGTGACAGCACCCAAAGAGTGTGAGTTCAATACCTAGTTAAGGCGGTGGAGAGGGGAATTAACAGGAGATAACTGATACCTGACATCCATTAGACATGGCGCGTGGATCTAGAACAGTCTACTTCAGCGAGGGAAATAAAGGGTTCAGTTCGACATTTCAACCACCTGAAGAAGGCTAAAGCGTACAACGGCCAAAAGGTTGTGATAAATATGGCAAGATGAGGATGATAGTTCGAACAATGTAAATAGTGTAAATAATACCTCATCTCAGAAATATACATTTATCTAATTTTGGTATTTCCAATTCGTAATTCCTTAATTTAAATATAAGGGAAGTGTTTTAACAGAGGTTGGAAAGTGCAACACTGAAATCCGAAAGCGCATTGGGATAGTGAAAGATGTTTTCCAAAAGTTAAGCAAAATATTAAGTAACAGGAAAATTTCGTTAGAAGCAAAGAAAAGAGTACTGAACTGTTACATGATATCAGTCCTCCTATGCAGTGAATGCTGAACAATCACCTCACAGGTGAAAAAGAGACATAAAGCAACAGAATACCGTGGACTGAACATGTGAGCAATGACGAAATTTTAGAGAAAATAGAAACAAAAGGAGACTTATTCTTAACATCAGGAAAGGACAGTTGATATTTTTAAGGTATATACAGAGCTTGAAAAATTTGTTGCTCACAGGGCAGGTTGAAGCCAAGAGGGACAGATGAAACCAAACCATAACCAACCTAGCGATCGTGAGTGAATGGATGGCGGAAGAAGTTTTAAAAGAGATATCAAAAGGAGAAAATTTATTAAGAGCAACAAAAGAATGAAAATTGTTGATAGCCATGATCGCTAACGTTCTGAAGGGACACGGCACATAGAAGAAATCGCTTGTCTGTTAGTGTTGAAAATTCTAGCCAGTAAGGACCCGTCATCGCTCACTGTATTGTTCATGGCGGGAAAGCGATAATGCCTCTCAGCAAGTATATATTAACGGTACACATGTTACACCGTAGATGGAGGAATGTCAAATATCTCCACACTTTCAGAAATGGAATGACCTAATCCGTCTGTTACCCATTATCATTCCTTGATTGAACTCCGGTAATTTATATCGCCTTCCTATGAGCAGTCTGGCTTGTGTTCAAAGCCTCGCACAACTGATATGATATAGATATGGATATGATATAGATATGGAAATTTCCATCACATTATTGATTTTTTACGGCTTATCAACATATTAGTTATTTAAAGCCGAAAAATAATTTGGAATTGTAAGAATTTTTGGAGATAATAATGATTTTACTGATACAGGTCTTATTTAACCCAAAGCTGTGGGGAGAAGAGGTGGATTCATATCTTTCCCAAAGGTGTTTGTGCATAAGTGAAGATAACAAATATGACTGGAACTGGAACTCGGCTTTCCGATTAACAACCAAGAGTTGCACCACCCACACATCCATTCTCACAGCACCTGGTATTCCCAAGCAGTCACTCATCTAGGTACTGACCAAGTTCACCGTTGCTAAACTTCGGTGATCGGACGAGAACTGGTGTTAAAACGTGATATGGCCGTAAGCCATGACGCCGGAGGTACGGTGGCTCCATGTATTATTGCCATTATGTATTGCTACCGTTTGAATTTTGAACATATATATATATATATATATATATATATATATATATATATATATATATATATATATATATATATATATATATATAGTCACCTCCAAAAAGTCCCAAAAGTTATTAAGAGGAAAGACCAAAGTATTATTATTTGATCATTGATTTATTTTTTGATAGTTTATATATATATATATATATATATATATATATAGTTAACTCCAAAACGTCATTGTTATTATTAAGAGGAAAGACCAAAGGATTATTTGATTATTAAATTATATTTTTGATCCTTTTTAGTGAGTTCGAAATTTTAGTTAAAAATTTTGTTTTCTTGCTTCAGTGGGGGGAGGGGAACATAAATTAGTACAGGAAATTTTAGAATGTTTTTGCTGTTAGAAACCCACTGATCTGGAAGTTCTTGCAAAAATCAAATAATTATCGGATTTTAATGAAACGTTTGCACTTAAGTAAATTAATTTAGAAATGTTTCTTTTTTCAGAAAATGTTGGCAAAAACATTATTTTACATCTGTTGCCCTCCACTTATTTAATTTTATGAAATTTCGAGAAATTCATTTTTGTACGACTTAATGTTTATATTATTTATAAACAGAACTCCTTGGAGAATTTAAATCATCAATTTTCTTTTGTAAAACAGGACCAAAAGTCTGCTCCGAATCGTAAAATAAAAAATGCAATAATATTAAGATATTATTTAATAATAATAGATTTTAACTGCTTTTATGAATAAAATATGTAATGGACACTATTGTCTCAAGAAAAATAGATTTGTTGATGAATAATGAGTTTTTTCCAGAACCGTTTTCATTTTTTTAAACTTTTAATTAGAATAATTTATAAATTTTTGAATCTTTTACAATTCTGTATAAATTTGTACCGGTTAGGTGATGTTGTTATTAAATAAAAACTATATTTACTAATCATAAATGGGAAATCTTACTACAATTTAGTGAAACTCAGTATTTTAAAAAGAATTTGGAATTGTTTTATGTTTGTATAAACGTGCCTATTTTTGTGAATATTAGAAAATAAGAGCGGTATCTATAGTAAATTTAAAGCAAAAATGAGATTATTTTCATAAGTTCTTATGACTACCGGGTAGTTAAAAATGATATAAAAAAGGTGCTTACATTATATTCCTCATGTAATTTTTACAGATATATCCCCTTAGAAAAAATTAGTTAAATTTCAGATTGCTAATAAAACTTTCAGCACTTTATATAAACACCTATATTCATGTTAAAAATGCATTTCTGCAATATTTTAAAACGAAAAGTAAGTAATATTTGTTTCAAATCAGATTAATTAAACGTTAAATCACCTAATATTCCTCAAATAAAATTCAGAGAAGAATATTTTATTTTTTAAAGATTTTTTTTTAATAAAGAGAATTCAATTGTGCTGGAAGGTGGTCAAAATTGGCTAAATTTAGCGATTTAATATGAAAGAACTTTCAATCAATTTAAATTAGTTTTGAAATACAGCAAAGTATTTTGCTTATTGGAAATATTAAATTTAATCTATTAGCTTGAAATTAAAACTAAAAGCTTCATGAAAAACTTTTAAAACCATAGATACGCATTTATTGGTTTATTTATATATATATATATATATATATATATATCACTATGCGTGCATGCGTGAGTGGAGAGTTCCATATAAAGACACGTTTACATATGCATCTTCTCCTCAAACACGTACTTATAAGTTTGTACCTGATTTTTTTATTTGTTTTTCCTTATTCGCTTTTAGCAATTTTTACTGTTCCCCATTCTACCCTTCCCACTCCGATTAGATTATTTTCCCACGTTCCCAATCTCATTTCTCTTCTTACCTATTATATTGACCAATCATCATCCGTTTTCTTCTTGCACACGCTCCTCCTCTCTACTGCCCCCCCCACTGCACACATCTTTTTCATTCAGCGTTCCTCTTTATTCGAATCTCCTAGACGCTGATCATCCTTTAGCCTCTTACCGTTACAGCTGGAATATACATGCCCAGCTTCGTTATTTGTTATTAGCCAGATCATAACGTATATTCCGTGTTTAACTTTCCACTTAAAGTCAGTCGTCTATCTATGGATCAATGTGAAATTTTGTAATCGATACACACTTATTTCACAATGGATGTTATATTATGAACTCTTGGTGTAGTTGTTTGATTTTTTTCACTTAATCTTTATTACGAAATGCGTGCGCGTGCAATCATATATATATATATATATATATATATATATATATATGTGTGTGTGTGTGTGTGTGTGTGTGTGTGTGTGTGTATAAGCAAAATTGTCCAATTGTTAGATGAGGATTTGAAGCGTTGTACCTTGGAAATGATCAAAGATATCTTACTGGAATTCTCCGAGATTTTTTTCTAACACTAATGGACTCTACTTTGAGCAATAAGAAGGTGTGTATGTGTATGTATATGAATATATGCCAATCTAGTATTGTGATTAAATTCATAAAGTTTAGGTACTTAGATGAAAAGATGCTCCCTCTTGATGTTGTGACCTCCTGATCCAGTTTTCTTCTCTACTGTTACCTCTTTTTTAAACTTATTCACCGTTCTATTGATGGTTTTGAATGAACTTTGAACATAGAAGCCAGAGTATGAATGTTGGTACCATTACTGAAATCTTGAGTAATCTTTTCTTTTCACTATTTCCCAGGTGGGAAGACATAATGGGACTGACACAAAACGATTTTAACCTGTTCTCTTTCTAGATGAATAACTCAAAGGGTTTTTCAGTGATTCTTACGACAAATGGTGTCAAGATGGCTAAAGCTAAATCTGAAACCCTGAAAAAAAGAAATTAGTTTTGTGATTTTTAGATATTAAACATTTTCTGGGGTGGACAATTGTCGCATGAGGTTAAACGATTTCGAATTTTGCTGTTACACCCGGTATATATATATATATATATATATATATATATATATATATATATATATATATATACATTTCATTTCACGCAACGCAATAAATCCACTAAGACGCTAGACGTTACTCAGTGTTATAGAATCTGAGAAAAAACGCTATTAAGGAGAGAGAACAATAAAAGAACAGGAATTAAGAATGCAGAAGATAACGATTGGCATTGTATTTGAATTTTTGATGATCAAAGTTGACTGGGAAGCAAAAAGCCGGAAGTGCGATAGAAGAAACTGTTAGCATAGAACTTTCGGTTACATGTAGCCATTTCAACCTTAAAATGATGAGACCTTGCCGCCAATCTAATACTGTGATAAAATGCATAAACTTCAGGTACCATAGCGCAAAGTTCATTAGAACAATTACCAGGAAAATATTTATAGAAAAGATACACGGAAGCAACCGACAAATATCTGCACCAAGCGATTGTTTTTTGTATAAATATGCGAGCACTCTCCACACATCTACACGTATATGTGTGTGTGTGTGTGTGCGATTGTGTGAAATTAAAAATAGCAAAGGATATACGAGCATAATGTATATATTTGTTCATATATTAAATTCATATATGTACATATATATTATTTCCAACTTTATTTTAGTGGATACTCCTGTTTGGAAAAGACGCCCTGTTTTTATTTTTAAAATAACGTATGAAAACAAATGTCTGATTAAAATCCATTAACTCTTTATTCTATAACACTGAGTAACCTCTATACGTGTGGCTTTAACCTCAGTCTGATCAAAATTAATACCGAAATGTAACTGGGGGGGTTCCTTTCTTTATAGATCCTAAAATGTCGCTCTAGGACACTTCGACGTAGTGTAATGGTTAGCATACTTGTCTCGCTAGATCAGTTACGACTGAAAAGTGAGTTCGATCCTCACTAGGTGCCCCAAACTTTCGGCCTTGTGCCACATCTAAGCTACGCTTATAAAATAAGGGCGCCTGGTGTAATGGTTAGCAAACTTGTCTCGCTAACTCGATTATGACTGAGTAGTGAGTCCGATACTCACTGGGTACTGCACACTTTCGGCCTTGTGCCACATCTAAGATACATAGAAAGTTATTTGAACCCTTCAACGTGGTGTAATGGTTAGCAAGCTTTCCTACCTAGATCAATTACTACTGAATAGTGAGTTCGATCCTCACTGGGTTACCCATACTTTCGGCCTTGAGTCACGTCTAAGCTACGCTTAGAAAATCACCATAATTTTTTTTTAAATATTGTTCTTAATCAACATTGCTTAACTTTGTTGACTAAGTAGTATTTTGATATAAACTGCACCACTGAGAGCGGATTAAACGAGCCGGTGAGTCACGGTAAACCTATTTGAAAATGTACATGTAAAGATGTTAAGGGAACGTGAAATCTGTGACACCTTCCCCACGCTCCGGCAACCTCCCGCAAGGAATCTATTTTGAAACCAGCTTGTCTAGAAATAGCATGTACTCTGCAATGCCGGCTGGTGAAAATATATTGAATGAAATCTGAACTTCTTATTAATAGGAACGTCTGCATCGTCGATCGAATAGCAATTATTTACTTGTGACGAAGACATCTTCTCAAATCGTTCTTTAACCTGACGCTCGTTAATGATTACGTCAAGTATTTTATGAAGAGAAAAAAAAAAAAAACGAAAAAAAACAACAAAAAAAAAACACGAAAAGATGGGCAAAACCATATGTTTCAACTTGTTTCACCTCGGGTTTCGCTTAGAACTTATTTGGTTTTCTTGCACAGATAACACGCCTGGCATCAAAAAAGTAAAAGAAATCAAAAGAAAAAAATGAAAAGCGTAAAAAAATGAACAAAAGAAGAAAACAACACAAACATGAAAGTCATTCCCTAAACCAATGGTTTTCAATCATTTTTTTTTTACTGCAATGCGCACTTGTAGGGTAACTTAAACTCTAGGGTGCACTTTAAATTTTAATACGGAAAAATTAGTTATGATATTTGAAAATAATAAATAGGTTTCCTGAAATAA